TCCAGCCTCTAAAGAAAATGGGAAACTAGCAGACAAAACCTTGTCACCTCATATGGCAGCCTATCCCACCGACTGACAGCTGATACAGCCAGGAACTTCCTCCTGATGCCTACCCTGAACCTCTTTCCTTGGAGTTTTAACCCACCCATTCTGCCCTTGCTCTCTGGGGCAACAGAGAATGAAGTTCTGCCCCGCTTCTGTGTGGCAACCCTTCAGATATCTGAACGCTGCTTTCATGCCTCCCTTTACTCTTCTGTTTTGTGGGCTAAACATCCTCAAATCCTGTACCTGTTTCCAACAGGGCTCAGTTTCCAGACTGTTCACCATCTCGGTTGCCCTTCCCTGAACTCCAATTTGCCACTGTCTTTTTGAGCTGTGATGCCCAGAACAGGATTCAGGATTCCAGGTGGCTCTGACCAGGATCCAGACCAGAGTCTGACCAGAGGGTTTCAATTACTGCCTGCGATCAGGACTCTGTGTCCCTGTTAATTCACCCCAAGATGGCATTTGCCTTTTTAGCAGCTCCATCACACTGCTGGGTCATATTTAACTTGTGGTCAAGTCAACATTCCTTTCACATGTACTGCTCTCAAACCAGGTTTTCCCCGTCCTATTCTTGGGCTTTTTTTTTTTCTTTTCTCCCCAGATGTGGGGCTTAACATATCTCCCTGTCCAAATCCACCCTGTTCATTTCAGGCCCACCTGAAGATCTAGACAGGTTGAGGATTTTTAAGGTTTTCTTCTACATTTTTATTAATTACCTGGGCAAAGATGTTGAGGGGATGGTTATCAAATTTGCAGATAACTATAAAACTAGAAGAAGAGGTTAATCCTGTAAAGAAGAAAGGGGAGATTCCAAAAGATCTAAACCTGGGTTTGGGGTATGGCAGAAGAGAACAGGAAATAGGAGGTAGCTGGTAGAGGTGAGGGGGGCAGTCTCAAATACCTGCGGACAGCAACCTCGTCTTGTTGGTGTGATGGCTAATTTGGGACTTCTCTGGTGTGACACGTGGTTGGTGGAATGGAACTGGGGTATAAATAAGCTGAGTGTGCAGACTGGGGGCATGTTGGCAGGGGCTGGATTTCCATGGTAATAGCAGAAGAAGATAGGACATTAGAGACTGGCCATGCTAATACAGAAGGAGTGGGTCCAGCAAGTCTGCGCCCAGGGCCGTGAGGCTGTTGCTGGGTTATGCCAGGTCCATTGAAAATAAGACCTTTCCCATGCAAGCATGGTGTTGGATACCAGTGGGCCTAGCCTGTATCACTAGAACCTAGTTGGTCAGTGATGAGGATGTAGGCTTGCCAGAGATCTGCCCTTCTGGATTCAGGCTGCAGCAGCAGCCAAGATGCCAAGGCCAAGGCCAGGGAGGGGGATACTGGTGACAGGGCATGGTGCCTTGCCTGTGGCTCCGCTGATTAATATAAAGAGGCCACCCCCCAGGAATCGATGTAGTCAGGGCTACAGGCTAGAGCTGCTGGTGGTTCACCATCCACTCCACTGCCTGGACTTCTGGATCTCATTGCTGGGCTGGTGGTGGAGATCCCCAAGTTGTGCTGGAGAACTTCAATTTCCATGCCCAGTTTGGGCTCCAGTATGGCCCAGTGTGTCTGATTTCCTGGTGGCTTCCCCTACTTCGAGGAAATAAGAGTTCTGCTAGTAGTACTACAGAACTGAAAGTTCCTCAAGGCCTTCCGCTGAAAGCCACAGGACGTAAAATGATCTCATCTGGCTTCCATCTGATGATTCCTCTGCAGTCATTTGCAGAACTGAAATCTGGGACATTGAAAGTTCTGCCCTGTAATGGTTCCTCCTCTAATATTGCCTCACCAGCACAATCAGCCTTCACCCAATAACAAAGGAAAAGAGTAAAACTGCTACCTCAGGCTTAAGTCTTACTTAAGCCTGTCTTACTTCACAAGACTGAACTACTCATACTTAATGCTCCTCAAGGCCCAAAACAATTCAGGTAGAAACCTAAGATCACAAGGCTGTGCAGTACTTTAGATTCAGATTCCAAAAAAAGGGGTTCAGAAAACCCCAGAAGGGAGAATGCATGCAGTTTGCAACTCTTTAAAGCCAATCCTGGGGAAAGACGCAGCTGCTTTAAAGAGCTGCGGAAAGGTGCTACGTTTGTGCTCCATCGAAGCAACTTTTTGGAATCGAATCCTAAGCAGCAGCCTTACTAGATTATTACCTTGTATCCTGAATGTATCAAATCTAGTAAACTCTAATCCAAGCAATTATAAATCTGCCGCTTTCATTGTCAAAAGAGTCAGAGCTGGGAGAGATAGAAGCCATTGTCATAAGTCTTCACACTGATTCAAAAAATAGATTGTAGGACTTGCACTCTGTGATATTGCAAAACTGAGGGATCCCTAAATTCAAATAAAAACTGAAACTTCCAGTTTAGACACTGCTGGATTGGGGGAGTCCCCAGGGCAGGGTTTTGGTCCCATGGTGGTGGCCACCATCTTGACTTTTTTGTCCCCCTCCCTGTGGACACCCCAGCTATACAGAACTAGGAGAATTCTGCCCCCTTTCTCATTGTGAGCAGTGATAAGGAGGGGAGGTAATATTGACCCAGTCCTTCAAACTGAGGACATCCAGAAGGCTATCAGCGATGTCAGCCGTGATGGCTACACTGAACCACTATTTAGAGCAGCAGTGTATCTCTGAAGATTAGAAGAAGGCCATCACTTTTATACATTGCTTGTGAGGGTCCTAAAGATCTGACCAGTCAGAAGTGACCACAGAATGCAGTGCACAGATACATCACATCAAACCCAAGCCTTGTTTTGCCCTATGTGTTGCATGTAAGGCCCCAGCTGTGCCCAAATACCTGTGCTTAAATCAATGTTTTCTCTGCCCAGATCAGCTCTGAGGAGTTTCAACCGAACCAGAAGAAATTCAGTAAGCCTAGAGCGTTGCCAACTATATACATAAACTGAGCAGGGTTACAAAAATACTTACATGATAGGCCTCTTTCCCAAACAACGTATAAATTTACGTTTAAGAGGTTAGGTTTGTCAAGGGAGTGGATGACAAATGCATGTACTCGATGGGTGTCCTGGTCCTGCGGCTGAGGCCTGGGCTAGACCACATCTGGCGGAGAATACCCGGAGAAACCTAGGTGCAGATTCCGCCATGCCTATTCACCCCCACCCTTATTTCTGTACGGCCAGCACCTGGCCAACCTTGGCTGGTTTTGAAAAGCTTCAGCAGGATCCTATCTGGTTATCACTTGGATGGGAGACCACCCGGAACTCCAAGTCTTCTGACTGCAGAAGAGGTCAGCCGCAAGCTATTCTCATATTCTTTCCAAGAATATTACATGGATGTGTCCGTGCGTGGATTATTTTTATTCATTTCTTTATTTAACGAGTGGTCACTTCAACACTCGGAAAAGAAATAAGCGGTGGGAGTCCCCACACCCTACTTCTTCATTTATTTCACATGACATCTTTGCTTGTTTTCCATAAATACAGAGATCAGCAAAGCTAGGGATTTAACTGTCTATGAGATTGTCCTCAGTGAAACCCAGAAACACAGGCTCTTATAAATCAAAATAGCTGCACTGGGATTATAGGGGAGATTTTCAGCTCATGAAGGTTGGACTTCAGAGGTTGCTTCATTTATGCTAGAAAGCGGAAAAGCTCATTTGTGTATTTCTAGCCAAGCTGACGCACAGTCCGGACAGTCAACATCTGAGTGATGACGGACAGGCTTCGGCGCCGCGAGGAAAGAGCGTCTTGGCTGCAATCTGTCTCAACAGCTCTGTAGTCGGCCGACGTCTCACCGTCTTCGGTGCCAGAGACAGGCGCCCTTCACCGGAGACACAGTCTGGCACCTGGAGTGGCTAGAGAGCCACGTGGGGGTGCAAGCATGTGCTGGGTTGTGCCAGAGTGCAAGGGCATGGCTGCCATAACAGCTTCAATGCAGGGGAGGTTTTCTTGGAGCTGTTTGAAGCACAGTTCGAACCTGTGCAATTCAGACATTCTATTGGCCACTTGTACCCTGTTCCAGGTATCCAACCTCATTTTCGAAAGCAGTGTTTCTCAACCTCGGCAGCTTGAAGATGTGTGGACTTCAACTCCCAGAATTCCCCA